AGTGTTCTTTTCTGAGTACAGTCAAACCTATTTGATTAGAAGACTATTTGAATAGTGAAACTTTCATTTGGTATAGTTTAACATCAATATGCTTTATTCAAAACAAATTAGAATAGAAATCATATCGCGTCAGCTTGGTAGCGTCTGATGGCGCAAGATCAGTATGGTCGTTTATGATTGCATGGAATAAAATACAAACATTTTTCTACTTCTCTTAGAAAAAATCAATGTTATATAAACTCCTAACAAGTCAGCGTCGTTTTCATATCTTGTTTAGAGAGGCTTTGGTTGATAAATTTTGAGCTCACTAGTAATAACTGATCAAATAATAGATGGTTTTCCTACAGTTGCATAGCTCCATTCAACATACGATTAATGTAATATAAATTGCATTTATTGCTGTAGATGCAGGTCAGGCAACATTGCTCCAAAAGGTTCGGTTTTCTACTCGTCCTGTTGGTACTAGGTCAGGAGTTCAATCACGTGATTATAGCCAACGCCTTTACTGATATCCATGGCAACCAACTCTAATCATGTAAAATAATTTTAATTAGTTAACAGATATTTGTTTCCAGACAACCTACTGTCGTTTGCTGTCGGCATTATTAACAGATAGTTCCATTCAATGTTACTACAGGTATAGCCCCTCTAGTGGCTGTGGCCATAGGTGTTGGACTAGTAAGTCTTGGTGTTGATGTACTCCTGAAAGTGAAGGGTTGTTGTGTCTTTTATCGCTCCATTTGCCGCAACGTCAAAGATTTCGATCGCAGGAAGAAAGTCGTTTCCCATTACATCAAGRTTAACAACCAGCAATGGTCACAAGGTATGATATAACGTTAAATCACTTCACGCACTTTAATWGTGAATGAGCATTCGATTGAGATATGAGGATTTCTTTTTCAGTGAATAACATTAAAAATTGGGTAGATTTGAGCAACCGACTGAACTCAGCCATATGGGTAGAAATCCTACGAATTGAAATCGTTGAAGAAATGATCGTGAAACATCTAGGTCCTGAAATCATCAAAGAGTTCAACAACGAACGATTGAGATTGAAGGTATATCTTCTCGTATATTTCAGAAAACCATCTTCACCATGCCATWTTTACTCTATTACTAGTCATGTATATAAACGAGTTCAATCTTCAATCATATTAATCTCTATGTACGTATGGTAGCATGAAGTAGAAGCACAGAATGAAACAGTGTTGGCCATGACATACCAACAAATCAGTAATCGKCTCCAGTCTCCCTTCGACAACGCAGAGGATACAGCCATGCGAATCTCAGGCATCACGGGAATGGTTGGGGTCGAGATAGCATCATCTGCATTTAAATACTTCAAGACAAAGCAGGTGAGTATCCATCATGTCATGTGGGATAGATTTGTTGGCTAGTGATGACAACACGCATGCGCAATGCTATAATCTGCGCAGCTCTGGTGATAAAGTTCATCAATTTTGATGGTGGGAACTAGCGGTAAACTAGTGTGAGCTGCGTCGGTGTTTCTAAAGAAACAGTTATGTAAAAAGATAAATTTAACACCGTAAAAAAGTATGTGGAAAAACTTACTGACGTTTCGGATGTTAATCCTTCGTCGGAGTAAAGAGGACTCCGACGAAGGATTAACATCCGAAACGTCAGTAAGTTTTTCCACATACTTTTTTACGGTGTTAAATTTATCTTTTTACATAACTGCATCAATTTTGATGTCGTCTTATTTTACTTGCTCCGACTGACTATTGATTTTCTTACTACTATACAAACCTTTGTCGACTGATTATTGATTTTGGACCTCTAGATAAGCAACACTCTTCGTACCAGTTATGGTGCTAAATTGACGAGGGCTGCACCTGCTGCCAAGAAAGTCCTAGGGCTCTCAAGAGCATCGACCACCATGCATATCAAGCAGACTTCAAAGAGCGTCTTCAAAGCACAATTCGCWGGTTCAAAGTACGCCAAGTTTGCAAAGGGTGCCGGTAGATTTCTGGCTGTGGTTTCGATAGGTAGGTAGATATGTTAAATGTCAAATATGAATTCCGTGGCTTCTGTTACTATCTTCAGCGCTCTGTCTGTCAAAATAATGCAATTCAAATGTGTGTTTTTTTTTTATTGTGCAGCTTGGGACGTTTATTCAATCATCAAGAAGATTAAAGGTTGTAGAAAAGTGCGAAACARATCTAGTGAAAGTGCCAGGAAAATGCGTGAAGCTGAAGGACAAGCGAGGCAGCTGTACTACGAGTTATACAGTTACAAGTATAATCTACTGGTCGGGGTAAATATAAACAACTTATTCTATCTTTTTTTATGGTGGATTGTTAGCAATTAGAGTACACAGGCACGCGCAAACGGCTGATAAATTCAAYGACATGGATGAATAGACTAGATAAATATGTGAATTGGGAAATTGAATGGATTTACTGTAAATGGTTGRAAGAATTGATTAACAAATAGAWGAATGGGAGTRAYTSATRTATTCATCCATTCATTTTTCAGGGATTTAGATTTCTCAAGGGGCAGCTAGTATCCAAAGATCTCAAAACGGTGCTTACAAGTTTCATAGAAATGGCAAGATCCTCTCCATCCGAAGCCAAAGACCTCAGATCCACTGAACCCGTATTTACAAAATTCCTGAGAGAAATTCATGGCGCCAACCCTCAGAAAATGCACAAACTTCAAGTACAATTACTGGGCTCACTTAGAAAAATCACCATTTACTACGCATGTTACTTAACAAAGGTCCAACTAGTCAAGTATGTTTCTGAGCATTGCAAGAAAGGAACGTCYAGTATGCAAGACTTGTACAATCGAGGAAACGCTGCGTTTGGTTCTAACAACAAATACTGTATTTTGAAAAATGGCCTTCCTTACACTAGATTCAGTGATGTAGAAGCTCTAGTTAAAGACGACGCCAATGTTCAAGAATTCAACGCTGATTGCATACTGAACAGCGAAGCAAAGAAAAAAGAAGCATGTAGCTACAAACATAGTAGTTTCACAGCACAGCAAGCAGCCGCCAAAATGACAGGAKTTACCGCTGCTCAAGTCGAAATCATCTATAAAACCTGCCCCGAAAAACCTCTCACACCAAATGACAAAAATACCATATGCATTTTGAGGACCGTGAATAAGAAATCTGATGAGTTTATAGCAAGCTTATTGGGCTTCAAAGTGGAACGCGTCAAAGCCGTGAAATGTTGAGGAGGTTACTAAAATATCAATTTACACGGACAACTTTGGCACAACTATTCACGATATTTCATGCACAATATATTTTCAACTTGTTAAATCCGTACGTTATTTACATTTTTTGGTAGATATTTAGAAAGAGCGTTTGCACCGTTAACTAATGAATATTAATAAGTATTAATAACTTTAACTACTACAAAGMATCTGCAATGTAAAGACTTGTTTTTTCTTGGTTGAAACAAATAAAAAAAGTCGAGAAGTATAAAATGACATCCAATACTCTTTATAGCTGTTATCATTTTTTTTGATTGCAGATTGATTTTGTAAATACATAATATATTTCACATTTTTTTCTAGTCTTACATCAAAAACCTTCCAGTGGTTCTAGTTTACGATCAAGAAAGAACTTATGTCTCTTGGGCGCATCTTTTGCTGAGAAGAAAGATGTAATTGCTGCTGTACCCTTGGCAGCTTCATCATCACTATCGCCATCATCATCCCTGATGATAAAGAGAAAAATAATTAGACCAAAAAGTACTAAAACCAACTTTTTTACTAGAAATTGGTTTTTATTATTAGTTATTTTATGAGTGCACAGGAAAACTCTGGAAAATCATGCCTCTAATGCAAGTGAGGAAAAAAGAAGGAAATCACACAGAAAGATGATTTTACCAAGYCACTTCAGCTGCTTTGCCATCTAGGATTGTAGAACAGGTTTGCCAGCTGAACCTGACTAGTCTAGGAAAACCAAACACTTTGTCAACATTGTCAGCAAGCCATTTCTTGGTTGCAGGGTCTGTTGAACGTAATACAACCATTAAACTTACAATAGAGTGAACTCACTTAATCCGTGAAAGTTAAATAGTATGTAATAATTTTAAATAATTAAGCTGAACTCCTTTGTATTTTATTGTCTAATTAACACTATTTATTATTAATTAGTACTATTTGTTTCACGGATTTAGTATGTCCACTCTACTCATGAAATGATAAATATCAGCATGCAAAACAGCACAAATATCTAGGCACACAACAATAGAAAATAATACATTTAAAARTATCTTTAATTTGACACAAATATAATCACAGGTTTATTACTTCTTAATAATAGAACTTTGCACACAAACATGGTTATATTTTTGATTGTTTTTGATTTTTGAGAATACCAGTTTGGTTCAAAATTGAAGGCATTGTTACCTGAAGGATATCCAGATCCACAAGTATTCATTGATTCAAAGCCTTCTTGATATTTCCAYGATTTAATGACTCTATCTCTACCAACCTTCAAAACAAACAAATCATTGAAAATCACACTTTGATCATCAATATAACTAACACTCATTAGCTTTATATATCGTTCAATGAATTACCTTTGCACATATACTAGCAGCACTAACAACAGGGAATTTTGCRTCAGCCTTTGGTGTCACTGTTATTTGCTGTTCAGGGAATATCTTTTGTAGCTTTTCTTGATACTTGTTTGCAACGCCTACTGTATCAACATATATCTAATAAAATTTAAGTAAATACAATTAGTATAGGTAATATTGTACCAAAAGAATATTGACTGAATAAATAGTTTAAAGTTTTCCCTTTGTTAGCCATACCTCTTGCACATTGACACCAGAATCTAGTAAGAGTTGAATCAATCCAATGGCACAGTTGTGTGATATCTCATTTAGACTGCACTTTGTTCTATCAAAAATTAAAGGAATAAAAGAAAATAATACTGTGACAGTAACAGATGCAGGGCTACTTTCCAATCTACAAAAAGTCCCTTTAGTAACTCTATTATTTACATCTGGTTACAACAAAACATTTCAAAACCATTTTTTTTCTGCAAATATAAATTACTCTGTTTTAAGTGTTAATCACATTTTATTCTACTATGATCTCATATCTGGCAATAACAATTCTGAAATAACACAGTAACACTTTCTATTTAATGCAAGATTTCATGTCACAGTTGACAATAAACTTTAAAGTAARTCCATTAAATCTGTGAAATTGTACAATATATAGCAATTCAAAGGTTGTACAATTCCACAGATTAAATGTGTTTCCTTTACCACTATACCCTTACCTTCTTAGCATAGCATTGGATATATAATTAGGAGATAGAATATCGATAACCCATCCTATGTAATCACTGTTGTCTTTAGAAAGTGTTTCAAACAAGGCTTCTCGCTGTTCCTCTGTCAATGTTTTGGAATCTGAAGACACATACTCTCATAAATCTTGCAAGTCATATGCAACAAAGCCGATGTTAGTTGCATTGTGGTAGTGGATATTGGGGAGGGGAGGGTGGGGGTATTAAAGTAATTATGCAAACTTGTGTAAAGTTCTGGGTTGTTTTTTTTTTCAATTTTCTCAAGAGCTGCAGCCTATGTACTCTGTCAGAATGTTGACGTTTTCATAAGGCGATTTATAGCAGGGAAAACTTACTTACTTATCTTTATCTATTAATTTATTTTTCTTGGTCGTTCTTATGAACTGTAAACAGACCCATACCTGCGAAACCAAGTTCTTTGAGATTTTCGGATTTCGATAGAGGACAGTAGCAAATGCCATACACCATAGGTCCTGTATAGGTATATAATTTAACTTGAATATTAGTCATCCAGATCGGCCATGTTTACCATTAGATCGTACTCACCCAGCACTGGACCTCGACCAGCTTCATCGATACCAACACAACAAGGCTCTGATCGCGTTATATCGGGAATTTGTGACTTAATTTTACAGTTTTTACTGTTTTCCCGTTCAAAATCGGTTAAATCCATCTCGAAATCAACTTAAACGACGACAAAATACTTTACACAACCTTTCCCGCCAAAYGTTTTCAAGTAATCGAGATCGTCTCGAGATTCGATGATAGTCCGACCGAAGCCCGACCTAATACGGAATTTATCGTACACATCTCGGTTTTACGAGAAATTCAAGCGGGAATATTTGGTGACACGTGAGAACCTATTGGACAAGATGGCTGTCAACATTCAAAACTGCAAGGACTTTTCTTTCGAAAACTTACATCAAACTGAACGAGAAGTCATCATGTTTTGTTCCAAATACAATAATCGTCCAACAAAAGCTACTGTTCATGATTTAATGGAAGATGTAGAGAAATTCTCRACAAATACGATCTTAAAGTCTAACATTCCTCTACATGTSCAGTGTCGATGGGTGACAGCTATTGCCAATCAACCTTGGTTGGTCCCTGAGAATAGTTCTATTGCTGAAGTACAAGTGAATTCCTTGCTACAGTATATGTCTTCTTCTAATCTATGGGTCCGATCGCTGGCTTGCAGTCTTGTTCGAGTGTTTAGTGGTGAATTGAATCCAAATGGACAACATATTATAACACAAGGTACAAAGGAAGCCCGCGCTCACCTGAATTTTATTTACWTTTATACATTTGTTTGAAAGAAAGGTATCGTTTTTATTTCAAGCCACATTTYAATGCCTTTGTTTTTTTAATACCAGTATAAAATGTATTTTTTAAATATTTATTGAATATTCACTCTTCACAWACAACAGTTACAATCATTTGTAAGAATCTGATGACAACAATAGAGGGTTCCATGGCATCAGATGTAGAAAGGTATRAATAATATATGATTATCATTTGAAATTTAGTCGTGTTTTTATTGTTAGATGTATAACTTACACGTAATTATACTCTTGTTTTTCATTTTTTCAGTACTGGGTTGTGTGAAATAGTAGCTTGTTCTTCACTTTGTTACATCGCAAACTACTGGCTGGCTTTRATTCCACAAAAATCTACTCCATTTGTATTGCTTGCCATCAAAACATTTCTCAATATCTTAGAAAAACCAAGAASYGATGTCACTCCTTTTATATATCAGGTACTTTAAGCTGTTTCAAATGCTTATTCTGTATAATTATTGTTGAGACTTTACTGTTTTTTCGCTTTACCAGGTTGCYTCTGACAGCCTAACACAAGTATTTCATGTTCCTATTCTGTGGCTTGGTATTCTTAACGATAAAGAACGACTAGAGGCTGTTGCCAGACTACTTGGTATTTTACAGTACTTTTCCTCACAGAAGAAAAAAGAAAACATTACTATAATTAAACTGTTACAGGCTACAAATATGGATAACTTATTAAGAACAATGATTGGACTACCRGATTCAGTGCAATTGTTACTTGGAATATTACTGGAATTGCTGCCTCCTGTCACACCAACTGATGGTATGTGAACATTATACCTAGCATGCAAGAAGAACCATTTTGTTTCCAAACATTTGCAAGTAATGTTAATTATTGATAAACATGAATTTGATGTCAAAATTAATCAAGACTTTGCAGTGACTCGGAATGCTTGCAACCCATACCCAATTTATAACCAGTAAAAGGTYAGAGGAAGCAAGGATGGCCGAGCGGTTAAAACGCCGGTCTATCACCACTGTGGTCCTGGTTCAATTCCCGGTCTGGGACTATATGTGATTTGAGTTTGTAGGCTAGTTCTCTTCCTTGCTCCGAGGGTTTTTCTCCAGGTCAGCTGGTTTTCCTCCCTCAGTCAAAAACTAGCTGTGAGGAGTGTCGTGTAGTAAAATAATGAATGTTGAGGTAGTGAGTGTGAGTGAATATATAGAGGGCCACAAGTTTATTAGTCTAGAGACTATTATGTGCTACCCTCTCAAAATATAAGAGTTTATTTATTTATTTATTTTAAAAGTAACATTGAAGTGTATGCAGAGTGATTGACACGTTTGCTTGTTATAGATGCACCATTCCTTGAAGTACGTTGGTTATCACTGTGTATTATATGGAGGTTTCTTCACATGATTGGCATCGCTGCTGATGACAACACTGCACTTCTCACCATGATCAACAAAGGTTGCAGTAGCGTTGAACAGGTTACATACTTACATAAACTGGTATCTACNTCAAGTCAAAATTATATAAGTCTTAATTATTATGCTATCAACTGGACTGAGAATTTATTATATTTTTTGGTCACGGCAAGAATAAATGAAACTACATATTCTATATGTATCATTAAACCAAGAGACTACACTAAAAAGAACCCCGAGTGCACGCTGACAAGCGTCTTGTTTATTTTAAAAGTAACATTGAAGTGTATGCAGAGTGATTGACACGTTTGCTTGTTATAGATGCACCATTCCTTGAAGTACGTTGGTTATCACTGTGTATTATATGGAGGTTTCTTCACATGATTGGCATCGCTGCTGATGACAACACTGCACTTCTCACCATGATCAACAAAGGTTGCAGTAGCGTTGAACAGGTTACATACTTACATAAACTGGTATCTACTAAATTCAAAGAGTACTTAACTATGGGAGGGTTTAAGGTAACAGATGACAGCAAGGCTATAGCTACTAGCTTACCATAGTTTAACTAGATCAAGGGTAAGTTACCATAGTTACTAGTTAACATAGTTTTTATAATAAGAAAACACTTTTTTGTTAACATGCTCTCCCAAGTGTGGTTCAAGGCATTATATTTCTAAGATGTTTATGAAATTATTAAATCTTAGAATAGTTGATTTATAGAAATGTTTGATATAAAAGTACAAAATTGAATGAATTTTCAAAATTTGAGAACATATTACTATCATCTCATGATAACATGGTTTTTATGGAATACATGTATTTGTAAAATATTCTTCRTTCATTTTCAAACTATATTAAAGAATGTTAATTAGTTATTAACAATTTTTAACAATTTAAATTAATTTTTTACACTATAAATTTAATCGTCTATAAATAGACATAATGTTTGGATGGTTACTGTAGCAACAGTCTCCCTCAAAAGTCGATAGGCACAGAATACGTCACTTCTTATCTATGTGATTCTAAACCAGTAGTTTCAACGTATTTTCTAAAATGCTCTATACGTATTTCATTTCAAAAAGATATAGCATTCCGTGCAAATTGTGAAATGCGTGTATTAGTACTTGACCCTTCCAAGGTGGGTCCGTGCTATCTTTACAACTCTACTGATAATGTTCTCATAACGCAAAGAAAGTGAGAAGCGAATCTTGGAAGTTAAACTTTAGTTAACTAAAACACTCCCATGATGATATGTGCGAATTCAGTCAAGACTTTTGACTTGAAAGGGTTTATATTTTGTCAGAAAACAAAAATGCGAAACCGGGACGATTTTTTTCATCAGTGTAATGAACTCATCGATGAAAAATCTTCAAAATTTGGAAATATTTTGTTTGAAGTGAATAGATGACCTCGATATCAAGCAAAAACTTTAGACTTAGACAAGGCCAGTTCGGTAATAGTTTGTCCTTACCCCATCCCCCTATGTCGTATTAGTTGGAGCGATAGTGGGAATGAAAAAGTCTCCGTAGTAGCATGGAATTTGTTTTTTTTTAGTAAACCGTAACAGCTGTATTCGGTCGTTTGCAAGTATACGCATTTCAAAACATCGTCTAGTTGTGAAAATGATCAAATTGTTTTTAAGAATCCGAAAGAGTTCCTCGAATCATTTTAGTCGTCCCGAAAAAATCCTTTCCATTCAAACAGCACTAATCCATCTCAACGTAAAGTCGTAGTTCAGTCACCTGAGATTTTTTTATGGAGTTGATGGGATTTGTGTTTTTTTCTGTGCTGTAATAGTGATCTAGTGTAGTAGGAGACATGTCAACTGACCCTAGATCACCGTAGAGCAACACCCATGTGGACGTTGATAGAAAATTGAATCTMCACACATCAAACCAGCATAGGAAATCATTAACACATGCCTAGGATTAGAAGTTTGGGGTTAATTGTAAAATCAGCGTAATTTAAGCTTGTTCTATTTCATTGTATGGGTGTACCATCATTGGTTGCCCTTTGGTATGTTACTTTACAAGTTTATTCCTCTCAAAGAGAGCAACATTTTCGTCACGATATATTGAATAATGAAGCTAATTTGACTGAGATAAAAAGTCCATTGTTATCGCGAGCATCCTCTGTAAGGCATCCGTCTCGTCACGATAGACACATTTATCAACACATTGATGTGTGTCTGAAAAAAGTCATCAATTTTACCTCGATACGCTAAGAATGACCTTGGTTATGCCTAAAGAAACTCTTCATATTTTAATCCTTGAAAAAATAACTYGAAAAATCGTCAGGAATTCGTTTCTATGCGAAACATATTTTCGTTGTTTCTTTCCCGGTGAGCGACTCACTCCATATAAGGAGTGCGTGACGTCGGGGTCACTCTCGTAAAGGGCAAACACGCCGGCTGTAAAATTGTCAAATTCTTGTTGTCGATTTGTAGTTCTTTAGATTCTTGTGTTTCRTRTATGATCTAACAATCACGTAAGCASGATAAATATTATTTGACAAGAGAGTTCGAAAAAAAGAGAATGGTATCCAAGAAACAGGAGTTTAATTCTAAGTGTTATAGATTATATTATAATAGGTTAATTTAAACTAAGCAAAAATGGTTTAAAAATATGCCATTTTTAACGAAAAGGCAGATTAATTTGACTGCAGATATATAAACATTATATGAGGTTGGTAGTGGGGTATTATCGATGGATAACCGGAAGCTGTCTTTATACAAATATTATGTATTTTTTTTGCTTTTTATCGCGTTCTATTTAGTGCTTACAATAAAACTTTCTGACCACAGGGAATACATTCATGMTAATGTGATAATTCATCTTAAGAATATYTCTAAACGAGGAGTATTGATACTGTTCAATCGCGGTCGGGAACTTCCCTTAACGAGAGCGACGCTGAGAGAACGCTAGACGCTTGTCTTCATTTGTCAGCGACAATCTCGACAATGAAATAAACATAACTTTGTTCAAAATAACCACAAAGGGCGATGAATTTGTACGTGATCRCTGTCTAAACATTGAATTTGATAAACAGAAAAATCYCCTTSAATCTTTTATTATTGTATTTTGTTTTTGTGGAGGAGTCGAAGTGAAAGTGTCTCTTKAATCGAGAAACTAGAACATCAACCTCCAAATCAGCAGGGTCTAACCGTATATGGTATTGACCTCATTTCCCATTTCTTCATGTCGAATCATATCCATATAGTCTGTTTATAATAACTGGGGCGTTGGCTATACTAAAACAGTAGATTCACAGTAATATGACAGGTTTTTGTCTACGGTATATTCTCTCCATAATGTGTAGTTTATGAGGATAAATTCCAAGGATATACGCGAATRCTYTGKTTGATAAAAMGCTTCGTCGATTCACGGATATTTGGCTAGGAAATTTCARTCCTATCACCGCTGGTCATCACAACAGATGGCTCATTTTTGTTTGACAGGTTTAAGCCACATTCATGAGTTGGGACCATCTTTTTGCCCTAATATGGTTAAATGAACGCAGGGCTATTGTTTTGACGAGTATATAAACGGCCGTACCCACTTCTGCCATTGCTTGAGCTGCTGTTGCGAAGTACACTCCAGTTGTTAGAAATATCGGTGTTTGACCTTTCTAAAATATATTAAAATGGCCGATGAGGATGTTGCTGCCTTGGTCGTAGATAATGGATCCGGTATGTGTAAAGCCGGTTTCGCTGGAGACGATGCTCCAAGAGCCGTCTTTCCTTCCATCGTTGGTCGACCTCGCCATCAGGGCGTAATGGTTGGTATGGGTCAGAAAGATTCATATGTCGGCGACGAGGCACAGAGCAAGAGAGGTATTCTTACCTTAAAATATCCCATCGAACACGGCATCGTTACAAATTGGGATGATATGGAAAAGGTAAGACATGTTAATGATTTTGATAAATATTTTAATATGGAACTTGCTTGGTTAACTGATCCGATTTGGTTTTGTTCATAGATCTGGCATCATACCTTCTATAATGAACTTCGAGTTGCTCCCGAGGAACACCCAGTCTTACTTACAGAAGCTCCCCTTAATCCAAAGGCAAACAGAGAAAAGATGACACAGGTTAGAACAGATTACAATTTTAACCATGACTGATGAACATTTGATCATACTACAATACCACCGGCCACACCTTATAAAATTCTTTTAAATATTGTTGAATGAATAATTATCACSAGCCGTAGTACCGTTATTGTTGTGTTTGGATAGTAATCATGCCGTTAATTGAACTCATTTSAATATTKTGAAGAGCAGAATATCATCGCTTAGAGCAGATTTTTTGACCACATGGCTGTGTTTGTTTACCGGCATATCAGTCATTTTATATGCAGACAGGACTTACAGAAAGTCAGTGCTAAATAATATTCCAGCTTACTGACTGTCAAGTAGATTGACTTCATAATTCTTTAAAGAAAGCAACATTTAAATCAATCACAAGATWATGACCTGATTWTTTTCTTTCACCAGTTTATAATCACATTGAACAGCTTTACACGCGAACAAAAATGTTTTTTTTTTCTCTGCGTTGATCGCTCGAAAATTTATCATATYGATCGGTTTACAAACAATATGAAAATCGTACATATGTTAGGCTTGGCAAGGCGAACCTTGAAATCTATATCGAGTTGGAAATTCGAGATTGCTGTCCGTGGACTTGTGGTTTATTTACGCACGATTTTTCCCTTGGTACCAAATATGGTCAAATATTATCTGATTGGTCAGATTACAAGCAGAGGAACCCGCCCGACCTCAAACATGCCGTCTGTGATACGAAAGCTCTGAATAAATATTCAGGCGTTAGACTCAAACATAACGAAAKATAATATCTGATCATTTTTACATTTGGTGTATTTTGGCTTTTTTGGTTCGGTTCTTAACATTTGCATATTTAGCGTGACAGACATTAAAAAACATCATCCGCTCCTAKATCTTAATCTATATGGGAGGGGTGGTCGCCTTTTTCTAGAGAGTGCTATTCTTGTCTCTTTGAAAAATTCCACGTAAAATTTTCGTATGATGCGCGTATTATGTTTTTGTTCATTTTGGTTTTGTTTCTTTCAGATTATGTTCGAAACCTTCAACAGCCCCGCCATGTACGTAGCTATCCAAGCCGTCTTGTCCCTGTACGCGTCTGGACGTACTACTGGTATTGTCATGGACTCTGGTGATGGTGTAACACACACAGTACCCATCTACGAGGGTTATGCTCTMCCCCAYGCYATCCTCCGTCTTGACTTGGCTGGCCGTGACTTGACTGACTACCTCATGAAGATCTTGACAGAGCGTGGTTACTCTTTCACTACCACAGCTGAGCGTGAAATTGTCCGTGACATCAAAGAGAAGCTCTGCTACGTCGCTTTGGACTTCGAACAGGAGATGCAGACCGCTKCWKCCAGCTCAAGCCTTGAGAAGAGCTACGAGTTGCCTGATGGACAGGTCATCACCATTGGCAACGAGCGATTCCGATGCCCAGAGGCCATGTTCCAACCCTCATTCCTTGGTATGGAATCTGCTGGTATTCACGAGACATGCTACAACTCCATCATGAAGTGCGACGTTGATATCCGTAAGGACTTGTATGCCAACACTGTCTTGTCTGGTGGCTCCACCATGTACCCAGGTATTGCTGACCGTATGCAGAAGGAAATWKCCAACCTTGCCCCACCAACCATGAAGATTAAGATCATTGCTCCACCAGARAGAAAATACTCTGTATGGATTGGAGGHTCCATCCTTGCTTCCCTGTCCACCTTCCAACAGATGTGGATCTCCAAGCAAGAATACGATGAATCTGGCCCATCCATCGTCCACAGAAAATGCTTCTAAATTCGAACACTTCAATTTCTTAAACCTAAGTCTTCTCGCTATTCTGTGTTTAGTCCCTTTCCTAAATATTACAAGAACTGTGACATGACGCAACGACTGGAGAAAGCATTGCAGTACTTCGCATACAATGTGCGGCTAATGTAGTTGTGTTCTTGTAAACCTCTAGTTATGATGAGTATATTTTGATAACGATGTCTGTACTTTTGATATTAGAAAGTAATATTTCCCTAGATAAAAGTTGTTTTATATTAAAATGTATAGACGATTTCAATTGAGCGTCGACTCTTTACTGTGTTTCTGCTTTTAACAATATAAGAGTTTAGTCACAACATTTAATTTGTTCCTTGAGTGCTAGACGTAACGCAAGTCAAATCCTGGCAAGAGGGACAGGGAGCCCAACCTTGTACGACTGATTATTAATCGCGGATCAGTTATGAGAATTGACGATTTTATCAGTTAAAAGTTCACTATGTCATTACAGCAATATTATAAGTAAAATCGTGAATTTTTTGAAGCAAAAACCAAATTATCAAATCCTTATAATGATATATTACGCTAAAAAGTGCTGTGGCGAAACGGCATTTGACAGTGTGTTTTTAATTCCAAGCATTGTTTGGCTGGTTTGTCAAGTTAACTACTTGCGCTCGACCACGAAAACAATTCATTAACAGTGAGACAATCAGAAACAGAAACTCGGCCAKCGTCAACACACTACAGCCAAGAAGCAGCCCCATATTGCCACCAATCTCGCCTGAAAAACAAAAGTAAAAGCGAATTAAGCATAGATTGTCGTAAATGAAAGAGAATGGCTTTGAAAGTTAACATRCTGGATTTCTATACGCACGAATACCATGCATTGGTTTGTTGTCCTTACCAAAAAGGGCTATAATTCCAAAACTACGGTTTTGTTTGTAGAGAACTACACGATGGCTTTCGTAATAAACTTGAATGGTAAGAAAGTTTTTCCTAGGAGGTTTAAAGCGTAAATTGGCATTTTTTGATAAATAATMAATGGGAATAATGTAAAATCGACACAAATGATGCAAAACCGATGGATGCAGCGACGTCAGTTTTCTGCACAAAGTATTATGGGATATGTTGTCCTCGCACTTTTTTAAACCCTCTTAAATAGAAGGTACCTCCCCCTCGATGTCGGTTTTACTTCTACTTTGCACAAATGCAAAAAGTGGTGAATTGAAAAAAAAAACAACAGAATTGACTTGAAATATCAGAATAAGGAATATTTTGCGCACAAATGATGCTAACACAGAGCATTGGAGAATTCGGAACTGGATTATGACAATCCAAAATGGCTGTTACAGACTTCATTTCCCATAATGCTTTGTTGTACACTAGCCCATTATCGACTCGCCTGGGGCCTATCAAATCGMAATTTATCAAATTCGTGTGGGTCCTATCAACACGCCTATAACCAACTCGCACGGTTCATATCCAGTATCCAATTACCAACTCGCAGGCACGGGTCCTATCAACTCGCCTTGTCCTATATCAAGGGCACGTTACTTATTCACACATCTTTACTCACTCGGAATAATCGTCGAAGAAGAACATTTTCGAAACGCCTTCTAAATTCCTACTTGCCAACTGACCATATCGCACTGAGAGGACGTATTTGGTCTGATTGCAACTGTCAGGGCAGTCACAATCATCAAAAGACACACCACCTAAAGAACAAACAAAATACATCCATTTCAGAATCATGTGAAAGTATATTTGAGACCGTAATACCCTTACTTGT